TCATGCGGGGAGGTGTGGGAGGCGTTTGAACACTTGAGATGCATAGAGTTAATGCATAGCCTGTGCCCCTGCAAGTGTGCATCCGCTCTGTACACCCTATGCATTAACTCTATGCATCTCAAGTGTTCAAACGCCTCCCACACCTCCCCGCATGAGTATCAGCAAAAAATATAGTTACTAAATTATATTTTATGCTCTACTCTATTAGAATAGAGACAATCCGTGAAGATATCTTCGTGGCAGATCAGATAGTTTACTTGTTAGTGATAATCTAGAACAGAAATATGGAGCATGCGCATTTCTGGCTAATCTTAACGTGTTATCTGAATTAATTTGGTCAATGATTGAGTCAAAGCACATAAGACGGCCGACAAGTTCTGATGTACCGCTGAACTATAACAAGTGGTCAATTGATAAAAACATAATTACTGAAAACAAACAGGAATTAAATGACATAATTAATAGTTTTAAAAATAATAATAACCCATTTTACTATGATTTTATGTTATCTAAAATAAAATAATATAAATGTATATTTTGCAGTGTCTTTAAGTTACATGTATACATTAATAATTTTATTATCTAATAATTTATTAGTAATAAACTATTTGCAACCTTCTCAATAAGTATACATCTATATTTTTGCTTTTATTAAACAACTATAATGTACATATTTATGTTGTTAAAGGAGTTATGAAGGATATTATATATATAAAAACCATAGATACCATAGAAAATATATACATTAAAATCTATGTTTCCAATGGCTTTCACTGATTATCAAAATTTCTATTAAACGGTTGTAATTCTATTGTTAATAATGACGCAAAATAGTTAACTATTTACATCTTATCATCCAATTTATGTTTTACTTTAAATACTGTTCCAAAACCACCCGAACCTAACTCCATGACCATGGTGAAATTGTTGTTATAATAACCGTAATCAGACATATTAATATCTTATGTGATACAAGTGATGTGGTATTTATTGACATTAAATGTGATTAAAATGAATAAGGTTTGCTGATTGTCAATTAACTTATAAACAAAACCAATTTTAAACAATATATTATTTAGAATATAAGCATAAATAATAAATCATTATTGTAATAGCAGAATATATGAAGGTATTCGGTAATATTTTATTATAACCTTAAATAATTAATATTGAAACATTATAATCATTCATTACAAAACATATCATAATTAGTTAAGTTAAATATTATTAAATAGTTACACATAAACACACTTTTTATTTATGTAGACAATAATTATCTAAATATTTATAAATAAAAATTTTAAGTTTAAATACGATCACTGTTTAAATAAAACAATACGTTATAATATACACAAACTATATTGCCGTTAACAACGTATTTTTGTGATCATTTATTTATAATTGAATATCATTGAAAACACTAAATAAATAGCAAAGAATTTCATACAATTTTATAATAACTACAGTTTTATAACTTTTTATACAAGTGTAGTAAAACATATTATAATACTAACTCCAGTAAACTAACATATAAGAATTATTTTATATTTACTTTTATATTAACATCATGTGTAGATTTATGTTGTGTTTTCGAATCTGTTTATAACCCACCCAATCTAGGGCTGCTATCAAAATACGTTTAGCTTAATTAATAGTTAGAAAATATGTTTATTATATGTTTATCTAAAAAGTAATATTAAATTTTTGATAAAACAATATTATAAATAATGCTTATGTTGTATTTTGCATTATATTTTGTATTTGTATTCTTCATAACTTTTAGTTATATAATTATAATTAATGTAAAGTATATGTTAAGTATTATATTTATTATATTAATTATTTAATAGCATAACTCATTTAGTTTAGTCATAGTCCGGCACAGTTAATGAGTGACAAAAATTATAAATTTAATTTGTTATTTGTACCAATTATTTATAATTGGTATACACAGATTATTAAACATAAACTAAATAAGTCAAACTAAATATTCTATCTAGCTATAATATTTACTAGTCATTCAGTTTAAATACTTAAATTTTAATCATTTCATTTTCATCACAACAAATTTTTCATAATAAAGGTTATAATGTTTTTGCAATATATTGTATAATCAATTTCTATTTACAAGTGGTAGTTTTATAAAATGAGACAATCAGTTGAAGTTTTAGTATTAGCTAATTTAAATTTTAAAACTTGATAGAAAATTGTATTGTCATTGTCACGAAGTGTATTTAACATTGTGTTAAATTCTCGGTGACTTTTGACAAAAGTCTTATCGATGGACCACTCGTTATAATTAGCCAACACATCGCGACAGTCAGGTCTCCATTTGGATGTTGACATCATTTGTTGAAGCATTTGAGACATCCATAGTATAGATGTTTTGAATAAGAATTCATTTGCTTCAAATGATTGCCAACTTCAAAGAGATACATAGTAAAAGTGAAATCACATTTAATGTAACGGTTAACCTATTTTTAAATATAAAATAGAGCACTTACGACTTAAAACTAAACAACTGTTGGCCCACTTGGGATAAGGCATAAATATCTGCTTTGTGGTTATATTGTCCACCTGAGAATAGTTCGGGTGCCATATATATATTACGGCCTACACCTGTCAATTGCTTAATATCATCCATGTCGTAATAGGTGTCTAAACCAAAGTCACTTAATTTTACAAACCGATTGCATCTAACGTTGCGTTCAATCAATATATTGACTAGTTTCAGATTCCGATGAATAATCGGTGGTTTAGATTCGTGTAGGTATTGAACGCATTCTAACATTTCTTTGAATATTTCACATGAAATGAAATATTCAAAGAAACTATTAATCGGGTCTTCCGGTTGTCTCCCGAAGACAATGGGTTTGTCTTTGAGAAGAGTTTTAAGATTTTGTGAACAGAATTCCATTTGAATGTACAGTTGATTGAACTCAAACCATGAATTGTAATATTTGACCACAAATTTTGAGTTAAGTGTTGTCAGACTTTTAACTTCGTTCACAATTTTGTATTTCTTTTCTTCAGAATAACCTACAAACATTGTAAACATTTTATAAAAATATAAATAAATAACTGAGATTTACCTCCAAATTGTACTCTTTTCACGGCATATATCTTATCATCCAATCTATGCTTTACTTTAAATACAGTCCCAAAACCACCCAAACCAATGATTGAGATGTCAATAAATTGAGCTTCATAGTAACCATCAATTGACTCATCGTTTAAATTTTTAGTTACGGTTTCTTCATTTTTGAAATCAATGGTCAGTTTTGTCAACATTTGATTCTCGGTTATCGAATTATGACCTTTGTTAGTAGAATCGGTCGATTGATTATCATCTTTTAATTTACATGTTAGAAAGTCATAGAAAAATGAATTGTCATTCAATTGAAGTTTGTTTATTAATTCAGTGAATGTCATTTCGCTAGTGACCATGGACTTATTAATAGACCACTGATTATAGTTTTGTAATACTTGAGTACTAGTCGGCCGATTGTTATATATTCCATCAGTCATTGATTCCATAATTATACATAAATTGTTAACATTTTCCGAGAATATAGTTTTATTGTATATTTCCTTTGAATTGTTACTAAATATATATAATGACAATTTAATTATAAAATATAAAAATCATCAAATTAAAAATGTATACACAACATACATATCTATTTGAAACAAATCTAGCCCAATCAAACCTAAGCTATAAATGTCTAGTTTAGTGTTATATAATCCATAAAATACTTCCGGTGCAATATATTTTGGCGTTCCGACCCAGGGTGTATTGTTCTGGCACTCCATATTGTGTTCAGTGGCCAAATGAAAGTCACATAGTTTTATAAACCTATTGTTATAATTATGTGAAATCAAAAAGGTGTCGGGTGTTATATTCCGATGAATGATCGGTGGCTGCAATCCATGGAGATATTCTACACATTCTATGAGTTCCCGAAATATTTCACACGATATGAAATATTCAATGATATCCATAGGATTAGTATCGCTTTTGTTATTCCAATATTTATTTACTGATTGTCTTCCAAATATTCGCGGTTTGGTTGTCATTACGGTCCATAAACTTTGTGTGCAGTACTCGATCTGAATATAAAATTGCGAACCTTGGGTCCACGAGTTATAATATTTTACTATAAAATTTGAACCAAATTTAACCAACATATTCACCTCTTTTCTATATTTAGTATTTTCGGTTAAATCTATTTCAATTTAAAATATTAGTTTAATTAGATATTTAAGAAAAATTCAATCATATTTACCTTCTAATTGTACTCTTTTAACGGCATATATTTTATCATCCAATTTATACTTTACTTTAAATACTGTCCCAAAACTACCCAAACGAATGGTTGACATCTCGATAAATTGAGTTTTATAGTAACCATCACTTGACTTATAACTTAAATTTTCAGTAAATCTTTGTTTATTTTTGAAATCAAAGTCCAGTTTTGACAACATTTGCTTCTTGACTATTGAATTGTGACTTTTGTTAATAGAATCGGTGGACTGATTATCATCTCTTAATTTAGATAATACAAAGTCATAGAAAAATGAATTGTCACACAATTGAAGTTTATTTAGTAATTCAGTGAATGTCTTATCGCTAATGATTATAGATTTATTGATAGACCACTGGTTATTAAGTTGCAATATTTGAGCACTTGTCGGTCTATTGTCACATATAAGATGAATCATCGATGAAATGATGTTATATAAATTGTCAACATAACCGAAAAATGTAGTTTCAATATATATTTCCTTTGAATTTATACTAAATACATAAAATGGCAATATAATATTTGATAATTAAATATTTTGAAAATGATAAATAACTTACTTATCTATTTGAAACAATTCCATCCCAAGGATACCCAAGCTATAAATGTCTACTTTGATGTTATATTGACCACAACCTATTTCGGGTGCCATATATCTTTGTGTTCCAACCCCAAGTGTATGGGTCTGGTACTCCGAATTGTGTTCAGTAGCCATATGAAAATCGCATAGTTTTATAAACCTATTGTTATAATTGTTAGAAATCAAAAAGTTGTCGGGTTTTATATCCCGATGAATGATCGGTGGATCTAATTCATGGAGATATTGAACGCATTGCAAAAGTTCCCGAAATATTTCACATGATATGAAATATTCAATGATATCCATAGGTTTAGTATTGCTTTTGTTCGACCAATAATTATCTACTGATTGTCTCCCAAATACTCGTAATTTGTCTTCAATTAAAGTGCGAAGACTTTGTGTGCAGTACTCCATCTGAATATACTGCTGGGAGCCTTCAATCCACGAGTCGTAATATTTTACGATACAATTTGAATCCAATTTTGCCAACATTTCTGCTTCTTTAAAGGTATAATATTTAGTCTTTTCGTATAAATCTATTTCAAAACAAATTGAACAAATTATAAAATTATGTATTAACGCTAAATACAATCACATTTACCTTCAAAGTTTATTTTTTTAATAGCATATATCTTATCATCCAATCTATGCTTTACTTTAAATACTATACCACTAAAGCCCGTAGCTATCATTGACAATTCAATGAATTGAGATACATATTTATTTGCAACATCTGAAATATGGTAACTTTCAACAGCTTTATCTACAGTAGCTTTGATAGCCGTTACTTGCATTAAATCAATAGTATTATAAGAAATTTGGTATTCATTGGCGTAAAAATCAGCAACATCGTCATAATTTGTTTCGATTAATTGATGTTCATTTGATATTTGATATATTTTATTATTTAGTAGAACACATATTATATCGTTTGAATAAATATATGAATCAATTTGTTGTAATCCTTGAATACTATGTTCATACAGCATTTGTTTTGGTTGTTTTATTATGATTTTGTTTTCACCATCATGGTATTTTCCACAAAAAAATAAACTTTGATTTTTTAAGAAATATGTGCTATATATACTATAACAGAGCTCTTTTACACCGTTTAATGTTACAATAAGTCGGGGTTTGAATACTCTTTCATCGTCTATATTATGTCCCAATTCATGGCCTCTATTGTCGCCCCAACTGAAGACCAGACCATCGCATGTGATTGCAAACGACGAGCCATAAGACGCGTGAATGGATTTTATTCTGTGATAATCTTCAAAATATAACTCAATTGGTGTACACATGTATTCAATATTATCTCCGCAACCAATTTGTCCAAAACCATTGCCGCCCCAGACATACACCCGGCCATCACTGGTCAGCACTAATGTATGGATATAACCACAACTGATTTGAACAATATTTTTGTCAATAAAATACGGAATGACCTCTGGTTTAATACAATCTTGGCCTATTTTATTACTCAGAGCCAATTGTCCCCAAATATTATTACCAAAACCATATATAATATTCATTTCATTCACTGCTAACACAAAATTTAATCCATTGACAAAGTATTGTATATTTTGATTATATAATTCCGGTATCATTTGTGGTAAAAGTACTGGCATTTTGTGTCCCAAACCCAGACAGCCGTCACTATTACTACCGAAACCATAAACAATATCATCGCTTGTTATCAATAATATATTAGTATTTTTCTTCCAGTCGTAGAAAACATGAATTTTTGAAATATTTTTCTTAATACTCTTTGAGATTTTATTACTAAATGTAAACTTTTCAAATAATTCACTCATTTTTATAAATTTATTTATTTATTAAAATAAAACAATTTTAAATCTAAACTTTGAAGCATTTGTAATAATAATAAATATTTAACTTATAAATTTGTAAATTAGTCTTATTTTTTAAATTAATATTATAATTTCAAATTTTATAATTGATTTATAAATATTTAAAACTACGCACTAGCAAATATAAAGATGTATATTTTTTTGCAAATACGCGTAATAAACTTAATGTAGAAATTACGATAATTAGTATAAACCGTTGAAAACAAGTATTGATATTTGGCAAGGAGTTTATAATTATCTTAGCGATAATAACTATAGATCTATCGAATAATTTTTATATTGTATCAATAGTATCAGCAATATTTTATATAGTCAATTAAATCACTGAGCTTTTCAATTGAGTTATTTTGAGTTTAATACAAATTTCTTAAAATAAGTTTAAACCCAAATCAATTACAGATAGTGTGACCAACCGTACACTATTAGGCAGTACATTACACTATTTGAGACCTCTGTACACTATTTTCAGACTGTACACTATTGTACACTATTTGGCAAATATTTCTATCAAAAGCTATAATAGTATAAAAGCTGTCGGATATATAAAAAGCTCATTATTTAATCATACAGTATTTGTCCAATTGATATAAACATACAAACATATATTAGTCAAACATTATTTATGTCGGATAAATACAAACATCGTCTAATCATTTAATTAGAATCAGTTTAATTGATACAAATCTAATTATATTGTTCACAAATTGTGAACAATATAATTAGATTTGTATCAATTTACCATAAATAATGTGTGACTTACATAATGAGTTTTGTATTAATTGGATATAAATATGTGTGACTAATATAATTAGATTTATATCAATTGATCATAAATAATGTGTACATTATTTGTACACTATTTTAGCCTCAATTTTATCAGTTCGTACACTATTGTCTAAAACAGAGTTGGTCACACTAATTACAGATGTTATTTTAGATTAAATCGAGATTTTCAATTTTTAAAAATGTTTGTAAGTTTTACTTTTAAAACTTTTATAATTTGAAGAATCTGTAAATTTTATTGGATTTTTTTAAAAATAAAAATTTCACAATAAATATATCAAAGCGACCATAAATAAACATAAAAAATCTATTTTTCCAATTTTCAATATTAATACAAATTACAATTACAATTTATATTTGTTATAAATCATAGAGATATAAAGGCATACATTTATGTAATACGAGGTATTCTTTAGATAAATTTTCTTCTTAATATTGGCCGGTTAATTAATATTGATATAACAATACATAACACAAGTGCACACATGTGTGTACAATGATTGCACAAATTAAGGTCAATTACGAGTGGACTTTGTTTAACTGGGGGTAAATCAGTAGATATTTTACATAATAAAAATTCATAGAAAAATGAATTACTATTAGAATTAAGAATATTTAATATTTCATTGTATCCCTCATTGTTTGCAGTAATTATATTCCTGTCGATAGACCACTGGTTATAGTCCTGTAGAACTAGACCACTGGTTGGCCGATTGGCAGGAATTCCCGTAACCATTTGTCCAATTATTTCATACAAAATGTTTAATTTGATCAAAAATGTGGACGAACTATAGACTTCAGTTGGATTATCACAACTAAAATAAAGTATTCATAATATCGTAATAAATTTAAAAGGGTTAAATAGTAATTTACATACTCATCTAGGTTAAACAATTCGAGTGCAATGCGACCTACACTATAAACATCTGCCTTAAAGTTATATTGCCTTAGGCCAACTTCTGGGGCCATATATCCCACGGTTCCCAAACATTGTGTCATAGTTGAGCGATCGTGACATGTGGCCAAACCGAAGTCACCGAGTTTTAAAAACACGTCATTATTAGTGTTACATAAGACTAAAATATTGTCGGGTTTTATATCCCGATGAATGATAGGAGGGTTTTGTTGGTGAAGATATTGCAGTGATTCCAAGAGTTCCCGAAATATCTCACACGATGTGAAATACTCAAAGACAGTCATCGGTTCCGCCGGTGATTGTCTGCCAAATACTTGTGGTTTGTTTCCCAGAACTGCTTTAAGATTTTGTGGACAGTACTCCATCTGTATGTATAAATGGATGCCTTCTCTCCACGAGTTATAGTAAGTGACCACAAATTTTGAGTCCAGTTTCGCCATTATTTTCACTTCATTGAACACTCGGTTTACTTTATCATCGCTAAAGTCTGTAAATATATTATATATTAATATTTGTGATTGAATTGATTAATAAATAATAGATTACCTGTTATTTTCACTTTTTTAACGGCATATATTTTATCATCCAATCTATGTTTTGTTTTAAATACTTTCCCAAAAGCACCCGAACCTATGGCCAATAATTCAATGAATTGTTCTTCATAAAATATTACATCTGAATTAAGGTCCATTTGTTTTTACAAATTTTACTGTTTTAAATATTTGTATAAATTAGTTACAAAATAAATTATTACTGTATATTTGGGAGTTGTTTATAAGAAATACCATATTAAATTGTTGATAACAACATAAGATATAATACAATATAAAACATATTTAACAATTGCTTATATCAGTGAAAACCATTGGAAACAAGTATTCAATGATATTATTTGCTGACAAATATAAATGTATTTCTAAATTGTTAGACTTTTTATTACGACGATAAACAGTATATCTTTTATTGTTAGTATTCGAGTTTAAATATTTGTTATTAAAAATTAAATAAATATAGATATTAACAAAGGTGTTTTTAATAATTTAAAAATTATATTTATAAAATTTTAATATAGCAAATAATATTTATTTAATGCTACCAAAATAAATAAATTATAAATAATTCTATCTAACAAAATTAATATAAAGTACTCAAAGCTTACATCATATAAAAATAAAAATTTTTATTATATTTATTTATCATGAAAGAATTCTATTTTATAAAATCAATTAACACTCAAATCAATATTTATTCGTCCTCTACAACTTGAACGTATTATTGATCGGGGTATACATCAAAGCCTGTTACAGGATTCCATCCAATGTGGGTGACGTTCCGAAAATCTGTGAGTTGACCAATGTCGTTTTTGGTCAATTTACTATTCAGCATCTTTAACGATACGTTTGAATTTGTTTTAAACATTAGAAACTCATAGAAAAACGAGTTGCCTTTTGTTGAGAGTTCATTAAGTATTTCATTAAATTCTATAACATTTGCGTAATTACATGTCTATCGACTGAAGTCTTGAATAATACATTAATATTATTGTCAAAGTCACTGAAAACATGTAACTTTATTATATTTTTACTAATATTTGTTGGAATTATAGAACAATTTGAAAACATGTTTAACAAATCATCCATTTTTAAAAATTATATTATGTTTACAGCTACAAGATTTATTGTATATTAATTTTGTATTTTGATTTTGTATTTTAACACTTAGCGTATCAGCTCAAAATAAAAGGAGTTGCCAAAATCGTGACAACTATTAAAAACAAAAAATATAAATAACCATAATATTTTCTCAAAATTTAGGCTAGAGTACATTTCCCATATATTTGTTATCATAAATATTTAATATCTATAAAGGGAAATATAAACTCTGACAACGTATTTAAGCGCTAAAAATGGTACTAAAATATACTTCACGATTAGGTGAAACCATCTAGATCTAAAATTTAGGCCAACGGGCATATTTAACGGGTATAATTGCCACAATTAAGTTAAGAATTTGATTTTATAGTTTTAATTTTTTGCGCGAGTATTGTGAAGATATTTTATTCATATTAATAATCCTTTCACCTTACTCATAATTAATAAACATAAATATCATATTTATACATTAATACTCAAAAACATTTTTCATAATTTGGTTTACTATCGTTTTAATTCAGATTTTTTTATCATTTCACCTTGCATATTAATTAATTATCAAATCTATAGTAATATAAAGTATGAATATGATATTTATGTCTATTGATTATGAGTATAGTGAAATGATTATAGATGTGAATAAAATATCCTCTCAATACCGGCGCAAAAATTAAAACTATAAAACCATATTCTTAACTTAATTGTGGCAATTATACCCGCTAAATGTGCCCGTTGGCCTAAATTTTAGATCTAGATGGTTTCACCTAATCGTGAAGTATATTTTAATACCATTTTTAGCGCTTAAATACGTTGTCAGAGTTTATATTTCCCTTTTATGTTAAAATTAAGTAATTTAGACAACAATTTGAGTAATCCAAAAAATAAAAAGACTTCATAAAAATCTTTTTAAAAATTTAATTTAATTATTTAAAATTTAAAACAGTTAAATGTACACTTTTATAAAATCTTTCATTATTACTTTAGCCTTATTGGTTATATTTTAAAAATGTTGTAATGTTATTTTACTCTTAAATACTGTTCATAAATTGATAAAATTGCAATTTTGGTGTTCCAATATTTTGAAAATATTTAACGAATGTTCCATAAATTTACCATCTTGATAGACTTAATATTGCCATAGAAACAGCATAATTTATATAAATGTTAATGTAAAATTTAATACTGACTATTTCTAACTGACAACCAAGATTTATTGTCATAACCTTAAAGTTCATTATTATGTGCTAAATAGTATATTTAATATAATTACAAGATTTCGGGTTTGACCGCATTGACCATTTTTATTGAAATAAATTTAAAAACTAAATTTTGTGCTTGATGAATAAATGTACCATATTATATTAATAAAAAGGTATATACGAGAAAAATTAATAATTAATAATCTGAATAAAATTTCTGACGTAATTGAGAAAAGTTATTGTAAAAATAGAAAAATCAGCAAATTTTGTGTGTTATTTATAGTAATAATGTTTTAATCTTAATTAATTTATAGAAATTTTAATTGTAGTTACAATAATAATTACTTTGTCAAATTAAGTTATAAGATTTTAAACAAGGATCACACAGCGATGCTATACGTTAACCACAATTCGGCAAATGCATCAAAGATTTT